TGTCTAGTTCGTTTCTTCCACCTGTCCATTTGTCTCCGGATGGCGACCAGAGGTCATGACCGACTGTGTTTTATACTAGTGAAGTATTTTTATTTTTTTAATGAAGCGGATATCGTTTTCATGGGCCTCCCACTCGAGAATGTAGTGTTTCGTGAATTCCTCGGTGATGACCAGATCTATCAGTGCATGGAATGGCAATGGAATGAAGGTGGCGGACTTGGAAAACCTGTCAACACAAGCCATGATTTAAACCACCAGTACTTGATGATTACATCGACCGCGGGGCGTTGTAATTAACGCCCCTAAACTTCCAGAGGCTTGGGGTACTGGCCCTCAAAGGCTGGCGCTGCTAGCGAAAACAATTTTCTTTTGTTGCGCTGGCGGGTCGGCACGAAACGACACTCATACCGTTTTCAGGCTCGACACCGATAGTTGGGACAAGTACTGGTGGTTTAAGAGAACCCATTTATGCTTTCGTTATCAATGTCAGTGAAGTCGATGGAAACAGATTCACTGGGGCATTCGGGAATGGGAAGAGGTTTAAGCAAACCAAGGGGTTGCTGTGTTTTATTAGTTTAAGATTGTCTGACATATTTGATAATGTCCATAAACTCTCATACGTTTTAGCGATTATGAAGTGACCACTGTTGTCGTGGCATTTGACATTTGCCCAAAATTCAGGAGTGGATTGCCTGGACATCCAACACACACAGCTGGTCATGCTTTTTATGTACGCGAAGCAGGACACCGTCCTATATGCGAAAATCATGTTGGCAACCAGGTTCTGCCAAGAATTGCGTAAAGAGAGCCCGAAAATAAGGTCCTTGGGTGTTGCTTTCACAATGGACTTGTGAAGAGTGGAAAGCATATAAAAAAAACTGGCAATGAAATTCACATATTCCGGACGACCAGAGAGAGCATAAACAAGGTTGTAACATCATTTCTGGTGCGTGAGCTCAAAGTCATGCAAATCACTCTCTTGGCGCCATCGAGTCAAGGTTCTATTCAAATTGGGCTGGGTCTTAATCCACAACAAAGTCTGATGATCTGAGTAGACTTTGAAGTAGCAGCCAAAGGAGGTAATGCCTTCGATACTCCAAAACATCCCGAAAAGCAAAAGATCAGCGTTCGTATGTGGAGTTGACAACCTTTGGGGAGTTTAGCTTCCTACTTATGTACTCAATTGGGCGCAGTCCAATTCCATATCTTGTTGTATAACAACAATAATATTTGATTGGCTTGCATGATGGTTACTACAAAAGGGAGACCGGACTCGGTGATGCCAAAGATTTGATAACTTACCAATGCAATCTTCAATTTTTGAAACGCGGTCTCATTTGCTTCACTTTGCGCAAAACAAATATTTTTATTTGTCATTCAGCGCAATAAGCGGGCTATTGCTGAAAATTTTGACACAAGTTTTCAATGGTTAGATGCAAGACCCAAAAATGGCTGTATATCACGTACATTCGCATATTGAAGTCACGAAATGATGACCTCCACCTTCGTTGTCTTCGGCTCAAGGCCTGCAACGGAAATCTTATGCCAAAGATAAATAACCTTATTTTTTCCAAACTCCGTGTTGAAGGAGTAGTTGAAGGGACGCTGGACCCGCTTTCCAGCATAAGCCGAAGCTGGGTAATGACCCCAGTATTTCCGGGTAGAATTGTGAGGACCCTGGCCTCTTCGATATATTGAAATGAAAGAGCAACTTGAATTAAAATAAAAATAAAAATAAAAATAAAAAAAAAACTCTAAGACATTTTGCAAGTGGAGCACATGTTCCTCCATAAACTTACTGAAAATCAGTATTTCATCAAGATACACGAGATCGAACTTGTTGAGTCTTGAAGACTCGGTCCATCAGATTATGGAATGTGATCCATGCACTTGTGAGGCCAAATGGCATAATGATGAACGCGTACAACCCATGATACATCTTGAATGAAATCTTGTGTTTATTCCTTTTAGGAACAGACAAAGTGGGAACTCTATATTCAAACTCACTTGGTCTGATTCACGCCTTATCAAGTACTTCCTCGATCTACCACTATAGTTCTTCACATTTGGGCTACCACTGGCCTACGGGTGTACATGCAACCTTTAAGGGGCTGATTATCCGATAAAATATCGATTTTGTGCTTGATAACGGTTTGTGGCATACCACGTGGCGCGATTTTGTAAGCGCTTTCGGATACTTCTTAAGAAGAGACTGAAGGTTGACTTAAATAACATTACAAAATTTAGACTGAGAATTGAAATATGAAGTAGATATCGATGTATATGTTAAAGCAGGTACTTGAAGCAAGTGCCAAAGAAAAAATAGATGAAGGGGTACATTGAGTCTGACGATGGTTTAACAAAAACAACATACGTATACTTAGTTTTGCAATCAAATTTCCTACAAAATTTTGCAGCGCTCATACAGTTAAAAGTCGCGGAGGGATTGCGATCCGCATACAATAGTACACTGTACATCCGACCCTAGTTTTTTGCCGTAAATTTTGACTCATTCCACTAAGTGGATTCACAACAAGATCGCAACCAAGCCAATTCAATTACGACATCGAAGAGGTACTAATTTGTAAAGTAAAAGTTTAAGAAGTGTGAGACATATTTGCTTTTGTCAAAGGTAGTAGGAATACATTTGACAACTTAATAACAAATAACAACCGTTTGGTTGTAAACTTTAGTCTGACAAGGATACTGCAAAATCATCAACCTTCATCCCAAACTGGGTCTTACAGACGTTGTGTGGGCCAAATAAAGTTAATTGTATGTAACACATGAGTGTAGGTGTGATTTATTAGCAGTTGGAAAAAAAATAACTTTATCACTCGTACTAGCCTTTCTTCTTGTACTGATCGCATATAAGTTTGTGGGTATGAAAGTCTACTTCTATCCAGTCATTCCAAGGCTCAACATAAGAAACAATGTGTTCGTGCAGTTTTGAAGTTCGTGTCGTCCAGGGATTGCGGTGCAGGCTCAAAGACAACTTTGGCTCCAACGTAGATGTTGTTGGTTGTTATTTTCCTTGCATAGAAGGGACTGACAAACTCTTTGAGCCCGAGTCTTCAAGTTCGTGTCATCCTGGGATTGCGGTGCAGGCTCAAAGATAACTTTGGCTCCAACGTTGATGTTGTTGGCTGTTATTTTCCTTACATAGAAGAGACTGACAAACTCTCTGAGCTAGATTCGGGTTTATCTTGAAATGAAAATATTCCTTACAATATATCATGTTTTTTTGCAATGCATGCATACCCCTTTATCCAAGTAGTTTGGTAAACTTCTCCAAACATCCGTAGGAGACACGTATTGTGCTACCCCCAAGGGCTGAAATTGGAACGTACCGACGCCGAGAATGGGATTCTCGACTTTCTGGAGACACATATTGTGGTAACTAACGCGTCGCCTGCAATTGTGCTCTCACATAAGTTCAAAAACGCAGGGACTATTTGGTCCCCGGGCGATTTACGACTGCGGACATACAAAGATTTCGATTCCTTTGGTCCAAAAGCGGCCAAATTTGCTACTGTTGCAAACGTTGTTTTACGTATTTCTATGAACTGTAACAACGAGGGCTCGATTTGCAGTTCTATCCTCTCTCTTGCAGAGGAACTGAAGAAGTCCGGATACCCGGCCACAGTTGTCACTACTGGCATGAAATGGATGAACAGGCGGGATCAGAAACCACTATGGAACAAGCTGCAGGGGCTGATTGAGCTACTGTATACTCGCCCCTGAGCTGCGAAGCTGTTGTTTGTGTACCCAGGGATATCCCTGCTGGATTCGACTTTGTCCTCATATAACGGCGTTTTCGCCGACTGGTTGTAATGTGGTTACTCGGTACTCTGCTATTCCCTTTGGGGTTGGAGGGAAAACCCAATGTTTCGGCAGGCCTCTTGTTTTCGATAAATGAATTTGCTCGCCTTATTGGCCCAAGGGATGCCCGAACCTTTCTTCAGCCCTGAACAGGCGATAAATAGGTCCGCACCTGTATGTAGCCCTTCTCCTAAGGAATTTACAGGAACATACAGATATGGACCAGAATATATTTTTTCATATTTCCAATCCTTTAAGAATTTCTAGAATTTAGAATTGCGGGAAACTCCTTGGCTGGTTGCGCCGGTTGCGCCTGTATGTAGCCCTTCTCCTAAGGAATATACAGGGGTGGACCATAGTATATTTATTTTTTAATCCATACTCTTGAGTGGCGGGAAGCTCCCGAACAGGTTCGCGCCTCTAGAGCGCGCAGTTAGTAGGTACTTGAGTAGTATATTATGATGAGTAGGGAACAGTGTGTCCTCAATCTGAGTGGCGTGATGAGTGGAAGGGTTGAGTTATCCTGGCGATGGACTCCAAGGTATGCTGAGAAGGAGATGACGACTCCATGATAGTAAAACTCATGTTATCTTCTTCATGAATAATTGCCTTTTTGTCTAATCAATTTTTCTCATGGACATGAGCCTTAGTTTCGACCCTGTCGTGGCTTGGTAACGAGACTAAGGTGCCGTCTTCACGCATGTGATTTCGTGCTTACCAGTGGGGTGTTGTTCGCCTCACCCATTCCAATTTTATGTTTCCCTTTAATTCCTATATATGCTTTCTTACTGCTTATTTATTCTTTTCCCTTGCAATTCGCTTCACTTTGCGATATTTAGTATCGGTGTCATCCATTGGCTCAATTTCAGCGAGCTTTGTTTCCAATTCTCATATATATTGTGAGTAACGATCTAGGAATAGATTTCCCGGAAGTTGGCACCGTTGACGTGATTAACACCGTTCTCGCTCATGTATCCACTTTCTTTATCTCCGTGGTATTACCTTTGTCACTTGATGTGAAGGACCGTCGGCGCGCGTTCGGCTGTTATCCAACATCCGTCATTTATGAGATCTACCGCACTGGCTTCGATCACCACTGAGGAACGCTGAGCTCCTCGCTGGATTTGGGGTTGGGTGTAGTCTCGTATCACTTGTTTTCTTAAGCCTTATGTACGGAAAGGGAAGGCGAAATAAAGCTGGTGTAGGACGTGGGAAGTGGTCGAACGACGGGCATTACTGGATGGAAGGCAACACGAGTAATGGCTATGGATATGATGGGGGGCGAGCGACGTATTCTGACACGAATCCCGCACATGGGGGAAATCCTCCCCCACCAGGAATTGCTCCTATGTCGAACCCCTACGGGGCCGCTCATGCTCCTATGATGCCGCCTCAGGCTCCGACGTTACAATATCAGACGCCACCTGGCCACTTGGGTGTCCAGCCGTGGCAATGGCTTGGCCCCTGGGGTGCGCTGCAACCGCCAACGCTGCCGGTTGTGCAAACCGCTCCGCATCCGTCCGCTATACCTATTCCTAATCCTACCCCTCCCCCTCCACCCCCACCTCCACCTCCCTCGCATGCGTCTAACCCACCTGCGCAGCATCACTCGAACGCCCAACATGGGCAGTCTGGGTACGGAGGTAACCCCGCCGGTAGTGGGAAAGGGCCGGCTGCCAATGCTTTTCCGGGTCCCGACAATCGTGCTTACTTTACCAAAGAGTATATGGACATTCTGGATAATATCAAGATGAATAAAGCTCTGGAAGAACCGAAGAAGAAGATTGCTGCTCCGCGACAGCGCGGTTTGAAGATTGTGGAGATCCCGGAAGAATCCAGTCGCTCCGGTTCCAGATCGACAGACAAGACCGAAGAAATGAAGACATGGGTTTCGTCAACCCTTGGCGACTCGCTCCGGTTGATCATCGCGAAGTTGGAGGAAGTCGACAAGAAGGCCAACATTACTGCTGCCGAGAAAGCAGAACTAGAGTTGCTGCGGAAAGCTAAGGCCGCTGAGTGTGAGGCAGATGTGAACAAAGAAGGGAACAAGTCCCAGAAAGACGCGTCTAGCAGTGAAAAGTGGAAGAGAGCGGGGGTGCGCACCCCGCTGGAGAACTCACCATCTGTTGCGCGTGCGAAGCCCTGGTTGCGTGGAAGCTCGAAGTCTCGACCGAAGAGGATCGAGATTTCATCCGATGATGAGGCCGGGGGTACTGTGAAACAGAATCTCCACGCGAAGATGGAGAACAACAGCGAATTGGCCGATATTAAGCGGATGCTGGCCGCGCTGATGCAAGGGATCGGCGACGCCAAGGGTAAGGCGAAAGTAGTTGAGCCGACCTCCCGGGAACCCGTGGCCACCGAAACGGAGACCGTGGCGAACGATGACATCGACCTGGCTCAGAATTCCTCGCTTGCCGAAGAAGAAGAAGAAGAAGACGAAGGCGACCTTGCCGCATTTATGAAGGTTCGAGGGGAGTACTATAGCTCGTTGCACTACACTAGAGTGCAAGAGTTATGCAAGGAAAAGGGAATCCAGTACTTTCGCAAAGACATGGGGGTTTGGGAATTGGCCAGGCGCGATCTACAAGAATATGCGGATCTGCTCAAGGAAGGGAAGGGTGAGCCATCGTCGAAGAATGGACAAGGCACTGCTGCGGATGAATCGTCTGAGTCAGACTCCTAGAACGTTAAGGGAAACTGACCGTCTGTAGTCTAAGGTCGCTACTCTGGATGACCAGGAGGATCACAAGGATGAAGCATGATGCTTCTTTGAGACCAATCTTGGACCGCATTCACGTACTAATTATTCTTCTTTCTTGTTTGTTGAATGTTATAGCCTGGGGCAAGGCTTATGTCGTGTTTTGGATTCGGATATCCCGTGCTAATTGGGATCAGCTACTTAATGCCAACTGCTGTGTCTATGTTATAATGTCATTAACTCACGAACTGGTGCATGTTGGGAAGACCACTCGCCCACTTAGTGAGCGTTGGGCCGAACATCGTCGGTCAACACGAGGTGATAGCAAACAGCGAATTCACTCGTGGCTCAGGAAAGTGGGGGATGAGCATTATGTCCCCATCCCAATTTGGTTTGAGAATGTTGCTGCAATTGAGACCTTAGAACAGGAAGTAATTAAGAGTTGTAACCTTGGTCTTAACGCACGGGGAAGGAATAAACAAAATCGAAGGAGGAAACCTCGTTGGAAACAGCGGAAGGCAGTAAGAACAGGGTTGTGTCTATCGTCAATTAAAGAACCTCTTTTGTTCGAATGCTCGGATATTAACATGCACTGTGAACCGGACCTACTTCGGATTCTGAAATCACTTGAGAAGAGTAAGAAACGTCGGGGTATTCAGGTTCGTAACAATGCGGGAGGGAAATGGCTTAAAGCTTGGCGTCTTGTTTCGTTGCTATTTGGTTTTTCGAAAATAAAGATAAATGGCGACAATTTGCTACTAAAAGATGCTAAAAATCACATTGAACAAGGGGGGGATTGGCTGATCGTCGAATTGTTCCGCACACGTACCAAATTCGAACTTAAGAAAAGTGAGTTGATTGCCTTGCTTCATGCCCCGTGGAAAAGGCGGGATTTGTATAAATGCAATTTAAATGAACTCATTGAGCTCAACAATGCGGTGAAACTTATTAACCAAGATCGAGGTCGACAGATTATTCGCGGTATACTCACAAATGTGTTCAAAAAGAAATTTGGCATTAATCCTCATGTTAATATAACTGAAAAAATTCCTTATTGTACGACCATTGACAAAGCATGTGTGCTCGCGCAGCTAAAGAATTGGATAAAAAGTGAAGTGTTACCTGTGTCGCTTGCTGACCTGTATGCTAAGAGGACTAAGGCCGTGTGGCTTAAAGCTAAATCGGTCGGGGACTTCCTGCATAACCAAAAGTCTTTTGCACAAAGAAGCAATCTTGAGTGCACTTGTGCGGACCTTGACCTGCCCCGTAGAGACGGGCATGTCGGAGTCAAGCTAAGCGAAATTTATGGCATTAACCCTTTTCTCTCCAATTCAAAGAACATTCCTTTTCCTGGGAAGATTGTCGTGAAAGATGGTTTGAACAAAGCATGTAATGAAGCCTTGAGTTGCCTTTGCAAGATGGGCATTGCTATCCGTCCATTCAGGATCGATTGTGCTACTGTCTGTAAACCTGGTCCTGCGAAGCCACCTGGGCGCGTTCTAGCCGAATATGTTATAGGCGTAAAACAGACCCTTTCAGGCCTAGTCATGTCTCCTCTGGATCGAAACCCAAGCGAAACCTGGATTGAATGTCCTTGGCGGTATGGGGAAGGACTGAAAACAATGTTTTTGCAAAATGTGAACTATGAGGTTGTAGAATCGAGAAAAGCAATGTGCTTTGCTGCATGCGGGAAAAATACCAGAAGTCCAGTCTCTCAGATGCAGCAAAATGGGACCCGCGGGGCGTGCTTCAGCATGCCTATATCATGGCAAAAGAAAAAGACAAAGACCTATTGTCCCCTCTTTTCTGAGCCCTTTTCGAACCGCTGCTGGTGTGCTTTCCCTGGGACTGAACGAACTGGTGCGAAAAGTTCACGTTCCCCATTTCAATCTAAGGTCACTATGTGACGTTAAGAAAGAAATTGACTCAGTAAATAAGACATGCCAGAAGAACGCGAACCTCAAAGTTATTTCCCGCACCTACGACATCAAAGAAATGTTCACACAGTTGCCTCACGCCGATATCCGGTGTGTCGTAGAATGGATTTTAGGCCTCTTTTTAGAGAAGAAGGTAAAATGGTTGAGATTTAATCTGCGGAAGAAACTCGTAACCTTTGGGAAATCACATGGGGAGGCAGGTTGGAAATCAATCAGGCTAAATCTGGTTGGCAAATTGACGAGCTTCCAGCTTGATAACAGTTTCTTTCTTGTTGCAGACTGTGTATTACGTCAAAAAAACGAGATTTCTATGGGGGGCCGTGCTAGCCCACCACTTGCTTGTGTCACGTGTATGAGCGCCGAGTACAAGTTCATTAAGAGCTTGGGGGCTGACACCAGATTTATAAGAGGTAAACGTTACATCGATGACTTATTGCTCCTTGCGCTTTGGGACGCGAACGACTGCAATAGCTTGGATAGGATTGAGGCAAAACTGGATCTGATCCTGGACTGCTACCCCCAAGAGCTGAAATTGGAACGTACCGACGCCGGGAATGGGATTCTCGACTTTCTGGAGACATGTATTGTGGTAACTAACGTGTCGCCTGCAATTGTGCTCTTACATAAGTTCAAAAACGCAGGGACTATCTGGTCCCCGGGCGATTTACGACTGCGGACATACAAAGATTTCGATTCCTTTGGTCCAAAAGCGGCCAAATTTGCTACTGTTGCCAACGCTATTTTACGCATTTCTATGAATTGTAACAACGAGGGCTCGATTTGCAGTTCTATCCTCTCTCTTGCAGAGGAACTGAAGAAGTCGGGATACCTGGCCACAACTGTCACTACTGGCCTGAAATGGATGAACAGGCGGGATCAGAAACCACTATGGAACAAGCTGCAGGGGCTGATTGAGCTACTGTATACTCGCCGATAAGTTGCGAAGCTGTTGTTTGTGTACCCAGGGATATCCCTGCCGGATTCGACTTTGTTCTCATATAACGGCGTTTTCGCCGACTGGTTGTAATGTGGTTACTCGGTACTCTGCTATTCTCTTTGGGGTTGGAGGGAAAGCCCAATGTTTCGGCAGACTTCTTGTTTTTAATAAATGAATTTGCTCGCCTTATTGGCCCAAGGGATGCCCGGACCTTTCTTCAGCTCTGAACAGGCGATAAATAGGTCCGCACCTGTATGTAGTCCCCTTTAAAAGAACATACAGATATGGACCAGAATATATTTTTTCATATTTCCAATTCTTTAAGAATTTCTAGAATTTAGAATTACTCCCTGGTTGGTTGCGCCTGTATGTAACCCTTCTCCTAAGGAATATACAGGGGCGGACCATAGTATATTTATTTTTTAATCCATACTCTTGAGTGGCGGGAAACTCCCGAACAGGTTCGCGCCTCTAGAGTGCACAGTTAGTAGGTACTTGAGTAGTATATTATGATGAGTAGGGAACAGTGTGTCCTCAATTTGAGTGGCGTGATGAGTGGAAGGGTTGAATTATCCTGGCGATGGACGCTAAGGTATGTTGAGAAGGAGATGACGACGCCATGATAGTAAAGCTCATGTTATCTTCTTCATGAATAATTATCTTTTTGTGTAATCAATTTTTCTCATTCGTATGACTTTCCAAGGAGAAGATGGCTTGGTCTCAAGATGATCCAAACTTTTGGCATCCTTAGGCATAGTAAATGGTTTATTACTTTTGTGGGATTGACTTGTAGACCCCCATGTTAATGATGGCTAACTTCTTTTAGGAATTTGACTTTTCTTCTACATACTCTTGGCTCTCAATAGTCTATGCAAAGCATTAGCTTTCGAACTCAAAACTATGCTAAAAACACTCAGGGGCGAATCCTCTTCGGACCAAGTGTCTCGACCTTGCTCGTCCATGCTGTATCCCGCAAAATGTTGGTCACCAACAGTTCATCGTTGGCTTGTAACAGCACGGGGTGATTAATGATCTAAAGCCCCAACTATTTTTAGAACAGTCATAAAAACTTTCCAATATTTATATTTTTTTTAGGCAAAGTCTGTGAGTTAATCTCTCAGGGCCTACAACCTGCACTGCTACTAATTTAGTAGACATCTCGGTTATTTGTAGACCGGGGGTTGCAAAAAAGTTTAAGTGCTTTCTGCGATAGCGATTGCATACTGGTTACCCAAGTGGATAAACTTAAAATTTTGGATTTATTTGCAGACCTTCGTGACTACAAACATATCCTTCCACTAGGTTTTCATCATTTCCAATATGGTGTTGTATACCTCTTTCTGTTGTACCCGTCTTCTGCACCCTTAGACTACGGTGATGTATGTGATGTACCATCCTCTGTGCTTCAACGAACTTATAAAGCCTCGTGTTTTTTGCTGCTTTTTCCTTTTGGGATATGAATGGGCTTTGGGTATCCTCTTTCTCTGCTCACGGGTAATACACGAGTCCAATGATCGTCGAGACCTCCATACTTCGACGTGTTTTTGTTTTCTTATAATTTTTATAATTTTGTTTTTCTTCAATTGTTTATGAACTTTTCGTAGGAATTATGCGCGCCTTAGCGAGCGAGCTAATAATTTTGTTCAACAGTTAGGAATTTCAAAATTTGCGGGCGCACTTCTCGCTGACGTGTCATTTATTGCACATGAGTATTCTCAAATCCATGTCGAAAAACTTAGTGAATTTTATGAAGGAATCGAAATAGGCTTGGGCGTCTTATTGTTTTTGTGTTCCCAAAGGCGTAGGAGTTCGCGCGTCCAATTCCTCGTGCAAATATTGCTTTTGAATCTTTCAATCTTGAATAAATTCGAGAGATGGGTTGAACGTTGCGTACCTGTTTTTGTGCTTTTTTGTTTTTGTGTCAGCGTCATGCATGCAAGTTTTGCCTGCGTCCAATTGTATCCCATACCATCTTCATTTTTTTTCCTGCACGCCTTTTTTCTCTAACCCGTAACTATTTTTCAGCTCCTTTCTCCTTCCCTTCATTCGAATCTTGGTCCTGCTCTGCTCCGCTCGTCGCCCCGTCCCCCTTCCAACCTTTGTCTTCGTACAAGATGACCCTACCGATCCCTTCCCCAACCCTTCGAGACATTAAATGGTAGCGTGTAAGGAGGTACTAATCCCCTCACACTGCGATTTGATTGGTTGCGAAGGAATT